GGGGAGTGTACAGAGCATCTGCAAAGGCCTAGCCAACTTTATCTGGTGCTCAGACACCGGATTCCATCTGACGCCTCACGGACTCGGCTCCGGCTGCTGAGATAACGGCTGCAGAGTGAGCAGGGTGAGTCCCGGTGGGTGAGGTGGAGGATTCAAGGCTGTCTGGCCAGGACACAAGGTGAGGCTGGTGGCAGGTGTCCCCCTCCCCCACACACGGGGGAGGCCAGGGCGGCCTGGGTGCGGCTCCCAGTGGCTGGTCCAGCTCTGTGTGCTCAGCCGCCAGGGAGAAACATTAACTCGATGGGTGATCGTTTGTCTACCTGCTGCTGGGGCTTTATCTTGGCTAGCAGGCCCACCTGCGTGCCCCATCGCACTTTATTTGGGCTATTAGGGTGCCTTATCTGTGCTGCACAAACATTCCAAGGGAGGGCCATGGGGGCAGGGACATCTGGAGACTTGGAACCTCTGTGGTACCAGAGCAGATAGGGGATTCTACATTAGGGTCTCCACAGAGGCGAGTCTGCACCCTACACGATGGGGGTGGGGAACAGTTTATGTACCTCCATAGGAGGGGTGTCTGCACAGGTGGGAGGGGGGGAGTCTACACCTCTACCACAGGAGGGTAGGGATCTTCACCATGGATTCTCCTCTAGCCCCTTCAGAGGGGCCCTTGCGCTGGGATACAAGGACCCAGGATGGCTGTGCTGTCAAGGGCAGTCCTCAGGGGACAGTACCAACCCTTCCCTCTGGGGCCTTTCAAAGTTGATGCGGGGACATGGCCGGCCTGCGGGACTGCATTGGAAAAGGAGGGGTAAGACGTCACTGTGGGCATCTGAAGTGCTGGGTCCCTGGACAACCCAAGGGTATGTAGCAAAAATGACCTGCAAATACTAAGACCATTTTGTAAGGCTAGGAAAATAGCTGTGATTGACAGAACTCCTGGCAACCACACACAACTCACCACCTTGATGCTCACTGTGAGTCCGTCCACTGCTGCGACCAACGTGCACTGGGCATGGCTCCCACCAGAACCGTCCACTCCCAGCTCCCAGCTCCGCACCAGGCAGGCTACAGTGGGAGTTACTAATCTCAGTATCCTTCAAGCGGCCAGTCCCTCCTGGGGACATGGCCTAGTCAAGCAAGCAGGGCCAGTCTGCCGTCAGCCATTGGGCTCCCTGGCTGCTGGTCTAGGCCCCTGGCCTATGGACTGCACAAGTGTGGGTTGGAGAGGATTTGGAAGCCCTGAAGTAGAAGGCAATGCCAGGACACCCCGCAGGTTGGCCAAAGAGCGACAGCTATAGCTGCCAGGGGCTTCCCGCAGCTGGTGGGGAAAGGAAGCTTTAAGTGAAGGCAATGTCCCCACAACCTTTTTAAAGCCTCTCCATTTTTGTTCCTCTAAGGTCTGAAATGCGTAGACACTAGAATACTTTGCAAAAACAAGAAGGATGGCCCTCAGTGAGATGGACTGACACACTGGCTTGTGAGGTCACGCTGCGGACCCAGTGAGCAGCACCCGACAGCCGCAGAAGTGCCTGCATCTGCTGCCGTGGCATGGGCAGCAGGGGGCCAGTTGTCGGAAAGTGCACAGTGGGGCCTAGCATGCTATTGGCCCTGGGTGGCCATGAGGGGTGGTGAGAAAGACGCGGAGGGGAGGGTGGGCCAGCACCTGAGACCAATGACCCCAAGCCCCTGGTGGCGTTGAACCTCCCTGCAGCCATTTGGAGGAGGAAGGGACTTGAAAGGCCTGGAGCCCCACCATTTGCCGCTCACTGCTGGACATTGCACCTCACAGGCCGGCCAGCACTCCAGAGAGGCTGGACCTCACACCTCCCTGCTGTCCTTCCTCGGTGTCCCCACAGCAGCTGCATCTGGGTGCAAACCCCACACAGCAAATGGCTCCCCACCAACTCTTCTGCACCTGGCCATGCTCGCCCTGATTGCTGCCTGGTGGGGGTGGGGTGGGGAACAGGGTCGCCCTGCAGAAAGAGCCCTTGCTGGCTCTCCTCCTGTCCAGAGTCACTGAGGCCCACTGGTCCTCTTCAGAACAAAGATAAGAAACTGAAGTGGATAGTCTGCCCTACCCGCGCCCCCCCCCCCCCCCACTTTTTGACTTTTGTAAAACTGAGTGGCGAGGCCTGCAGAAAAGTCCACTGACTTCTCCCTTGAGCTGCTGGTCATCTGGACAGTTCTTGTCAGGTGATGTCCAGCGGGCTCCACCTCACGGAGGACAACGGAACTAAGCCCTGCCCGGTTCCATGCCGTCCTGGTGATCCTTGTGACCTGAGCCCAGTGTTGCAACCACCCTGCCTGTCCTTCTTGTTGAGGGTCTTCCTTCTTTTCACTGCCCCTCGACTTTACCAAATCTGAAGTTCTTTTCCAGGGCCTGGTCTCTCTGAGAACATGTTCAGAGTCTGTGATCCGTACAGAAGAGCCTAAGATAAAACCCTTACCATGAACGAGGTGGATTGGAAGGCATTGAGCGGGCTTCACTGGGGGCCACCCACCTCGCAGGCTGCTTTGTCCCTGTCCTGAGCCCAGCCGCCTGGCCCTGCATGGCCAGGTCTCTCAGAAGGACACAGAGACCACTTTAGGATGGACCCATTGTCTGATGCGGGGTGTCCACTCGCATGGAGTTGCCTCTCCTCAGCGATGGGCGCCTTGCTCCTTCGCAGGGCCGCAGGGGGCGTGGTTTGAAAGAGCCACCAAACATGACACCTTGCTTGGAGCTGTTTCCAAACGCGCGGCCTTTCTCATCACCTCACGCAGAAGCCCCTGCCCATTAGCCCATCACTCTCGTCTGCCCCCATCCTGCGCACCCCTTCTGCTAGATCCTTTTGCGACAGTGCATGCTCCACCCGTCACAGCAATACACATCCTGAACACACCTGCCTGCTGACCCAAAGGGTAGAGGCATGAGTCCCCCCACACACACGACCCCCCAATATGCCCAGGAAGACAGGCCTGGCCATTAACTTACGAATGACCAGCCTAGTCCCCTCAGACACGGGTGGGCCAGTGACCTAGAGGGCCGCCAGCGGCTGCTGCTTGGGAGGTTCTAGTCCCTCGTCTCTCTGAAGTGGGCTTCGTCTGTCTTATCCTGGCGGCGCCACTGAAAGCTGTTCACCATGGGAGACCTTGCTGGCCGCTGTACTTCCAGTGACCGTTTCCGTCGTCATGCGGCTGTTGCTGCTGTCAGGCCGGCATGTCTGTTCTGACGCACAGAGACACTGAACAGGCGAGGACAAGCACGGCCGCCATCCCTGTGAAGTGGCAGAGCCACGGCGCCACGCTCCCGATGCTGCTGTTGGTCCTGACTCCTAGTGACCTGATGTACAACACCACAACACCCCGTGTGCTCCTGGGCCGTGTTCACCATCGCCGCTATGTCTGCGCCCATTGTTGTAGCCTGTGTCAGTCCACCTAGTCCAGGGCTGCCCTCTTTGTTGCTGTCCCTCCACTCTACCAAGCATGATGTCCTTTCCCAGAGATGGGTCTCTCCTGATAACATGTCCAAAGTACGTGGACACAGTCCCATCCTCCGTCTTCTGGCAGGTAGGTCTTGGTACCCTCAGTATCCTTTGCCAGCTCTGAAATTCAAATGCACCAATTCTTCCTGCGTCTTCCTTGTTCGATATCCAACTTTCACGTCCACATGAGGTAAATTAAAACATCACGGCTTGGGTCAGGCCCACCTTAGCCTTTAAGTAGCATGACTGCTTTCCAACACTTGAGCTGTCTTGTGCAGCAAGTTTATTAATGCAGTGCATTGTTTGAGCTCTTGCTTGCTGCTTCCGTGAACATTCCTTGTGGATCCAAGAAAGCTGGAATCTTTGAAAACTTCAATCTTTTCTCCATTTATCGCGTCACCTATTGGTCCAGTTGTGGGGACTTTGGCTTTGTTTACATCGGGTTGTAAATCCTTGGTCTTCATCAGCAAGTGCTCCAAGTCCTCACTTTCAGCAAGCAGTTACAATAAGTTAATAAGCCTTTCTCAAATCCTGAGGCCACATTTTCCCACATATAATCCAGCTTCCCTGATGATTTGCTTCGCATACAGAGTGAATACGTACGGTTAAAACCAGAATACAGGCCTGTTGCACTCCTTTCCTGATTTTAAACCACGCAGCCCTCCCTGGCTTTGTTCCCACAGCCAACTCTTGATCTGTGTATAGGTTCTGCAGGAGCACAAGGCAGTGTTCTGGGATTCCCATTCTTTTCAAGGCTGTCCGTAGTTTCTTATGACCCACACAGGTGAGTGCCTCATCCTAGACAGTGAAACACAAGTGAACACCTTTCTGGTGTTCTCGCTTTCAGCCAAGATCCATCTGATACCAGCAATGGTATCCATTGTCCCATGACCTCTTCTGAATCCGGCCT